TTTATAAATACAGGACAATTAACATGAAAGTAGAAGAGGAGGAAAAATAAATGATGATATTTCTATTTCATTTTCATATGTAGATGTCTGGAAAATGTCGGAAAATGTGATTCGTCAAGATGACAATGTGCAAATCTTGCAGTGAATAAATCACCCGTTATAGGTTCGAGATATTTTATAATTGACGGCAATTCATATCCGACATAAATACCCAATCTACGTTGAGGATCCATTTTTGTATCTTTGGGGGTGGAATAGGAACATAGACAATACACCCAAAAAGGGCAACATAGACCTCATCAGTAATGGTCTAGAAATTAATTACAATATTTTAATAAGTGATTCTGCCAGACTATTTTGTGTATGAACATGAGCATCTGGGTGCTCTAATTTAATTACAATCGATATGCAATAATCGTCAAATGCATTCGATGAATAGTCACCAGCATTATCAAGACGTATAGTCTTAATTGGATTATTGAGAAATTGTGCCTGTAATTTAATAATTTGGGCAAGAGACAACATTATCTTGTCGTTGCGTACATTTTGGATAAGACCTGTAAGAAAAAATTCCTAACTTGGGTCGAATAATTGAAAATTCATGACGGATATATGTTGAATTTGGGATGATGCATCAACATGACTAAATACCATATGTTTAGGACGTAAAGCCATATCTGCCATCTCTTAATGCAACTTTTGCTTATTATTGGACTTCAAGAACTATTGGTAAAAAAAAATCTGGGAATCCATTATGGAGTTAAGCATTTTTTTCAGGCATTTGACATTTTTTTCAGGCATTATGGAGTTAGGGTGTGTTTGTTTGGGGGATTTAATTAGATTTCTACTATTCATCCAATTTTTCCCCCCCAAAAACATCAAATCAAACACCTAATTTTTATTTTTTATATTATACTAAAAATCAATTTTATATTCAAAACATCACATCAACACCTATTTATATCACATCATACAACTATTCAAATTCAAAATTTTTACTATTCAAATCCCAACTCAAAATCCAAACTCCCAAACAAACACACCTAGGTCATATCCTTTAGTGACATGGAGTGATTGGAAGCAAAGTTTCCGGTCATTATTTGCAAGTTCGAGACAACACTTATACCAAGACTTTTTAATAGTATGAAACATCTACCGGTTTATCTGGCTTTCGAAGCGAGAATGGCTGGACCAGTTTAATTCCACTGGATGTGCCCTTTTGAGAGGTAAGCACTTAGTACTTAGTTTTGATTTCAAATAATGTTTTGTATTGTGTGTATTAAGAAAATCAGTATGTTGTTTCCAATGTATTTTTTTGCACCGTTTAAAAAATATGGTTGCAAATAAGGCACACGTGAAGGGGTCAATAGTCAATGCATTTCTTGTTTGAGGGACAAGTTTTTTCAAATTAAATTATTTTGAACAACATATTTTCACATGTGATAGGAACGCGATTATACAAGACAATGGAGGACTAAGATCTGGTCCGAATATGGGAATGAATGTGATTTTACACACTTACCGCTTGCAAGGCAAACCAAAGATCCACATTTCCGCACATTTTTTCGCTTTCTTTACAATTTTCCTTTTCGTTGCTCATTCTTTTCAGTTTAATGAAGTTATATTTTTAAAGTCTTTTTCTTTTTCTTTCCATCGACGAATTTTTTGTTAAGTTGCCTTTCCGCAGACATGAAATATCATTTAGAGGTTTTTGGAGTGCCTTAGGGAACCCTTGGTCGTTCTCCGACGGGTTTCATCAAGCCTTCATAAGACTTGGAATATACGAATTTTTGTATATAATAATATGTTATTATATATGTTTATAAATAATGATTGTAGGGTCTCGAGAAATGAAAGACCTATAAGTGAGCGCATACTAAGCATCATGACCTTGTATAAAAGGTACGCCAAACAATTTATGTTATTGTTCTATGTTTATATGAACTAGTACTATAGATTTTATGATATTTATCAATTTCGGGAGGACTTGAATGTGATCAAGGAAAAAATGTCTCAAGTCAGCGGTACCGAGTATAGTCTTGATGAGACATTTCTTTCCTTGGGTCCATCAGGATAAGAAGAATATGATTGGGTCACTTGCAACAACAATCCCACTCGAGCAACTTCCTTTGCTAACAATGGTCATACCTTGGGTGGTATGGATTATGACCAATGCTTGGCGGAGATGGAGTCGCGGTCATAGTATGTGGAAGGCTACAATATGACCACCATGAAGCAGCTCGAGGGGATCAACTCACGCTTGAAAATATGCGACTTGACGATTTGGTTGCGCCACCAGTTTATTGACATTTATGTTTTTAGGACAATTTCATACGTTGGAATTGAGGGTTTTATGTTTGTATGTAATTAATGTGTAACAATCTTTGTAATTGTAAGCTTTTAATATATTTTGAGAATTAATAATGGTGTTTTAGTTGATTGAGTATGAATGTGGTTGTAGTCCTAAATTTAGTTTTGTATAATGACATGTATTGATAAATCATGAAATACAAATTCCAGGGAAAAAGGTCTCTATATTAGACAAGGAATTTTTGATGGAATTCATCTATTGTCAAAAAAAATTTGGTTCGAATTTGCGATAGAATATTCCGTTGCTAATTCTATCTCCAAATCCGTCGCTAATTTTTGCAACGGAAAACTGATCGTTTAAATTTAGTGACTAGATGTATTTGTGACGGATTCTATTCCTTCCATAATTTCATCGCTAATGCCTTCACGGAAAAAATAAAAATTCCGTCGATAATCCACAATTTATTTTATTTTATATTTTTTTGTAGTGGTTTGTTTGTTTCCGAGAAATTTTGTAATTCATTTCTGCAACACTATGATAAAATGAGCTGTATGAGTAGGAAGTGGCAAGATAGTTGATAGCATGTGATCTTGTCTGCTCAATTAATTAAAATAAAAATAAAGCATTATCATTTACAATTAATTATACGGAGGGTGTTTGTCGAATAGCATTTTGAAGAGCTCAACAGTTTAGCTGTTTGACTGATCAAATAATTAATTTAGGTGTTTGGTAAATTAATTTTTTGAAATAGTTTTTTGACTCAAAAAGTTAATTTCTGAAAAACAAACTTACTCAATATTTTGAAATAGCTATTTGAGTCTAAATTTTTTTATTCCTTAATTGTACTTAAAAATTTATTATGCATTTACACAAATAAATATATTTTGCTTATTTTTTAATTATATTATAATATTTTATTATATTATAGTTTTACTTTTATAAATTTAAAATAATTATTTTTTATATATAAATTATTTTACTTGTAAAATATATAAATTTATAAAATCAACTCAAAATAGAAAATATAAATATTAATAATTTATTTTATATTAAAATTACATTATATAAATTTTATACTAAAAGTAAATTAAATAAATTAAATCTATTGAAAATTATAAATATAATGAACGAATCGATAATTAACATAATAAATATATACACGAAAAATTTATTATTTTATATTTTACATCATTTTAAGTAGAAAAAACTATTTATATTTTTTAATAAAAAATATTAATTTTTAAAATCTAACTATAATAAAAATAAATACTATTTTATTACACATTTATAATTTTCAATAACTAATAACAAAAAATTTCAAACATTCTAAATTCAAAAGAACACAATTGAATATATTAGAAAAAAAAATAGAAATATCCTCAATTATCATATTACGTATAAACAGTAATATCAAACAGTTATTTTATCAAATATTTTAATATAAATAGCTAATCGAATTAGCTAATCAAATCAGCTAATTGAATCAGTTAAGAGCTAATTATCAAACACGGCGGCCTAAGTGTTTGCAAGGAAGCTCTTGTGAATTTTTCTGAAGTTTAAATCTTGGATTCCTCCCGTTTCCCCACATCGGCATCGAGTATTTTTCTCCCACACGTGAATCTGAGTGGAGTTCTTGGTACTACAAAAGCAACTTGGGACCAATTCTTTTGCTTTCATGCTGCAATTAATATAAATAAATAAATAAATAAATATAATAAAGCTAGAAACTCATTCTGCATTACAAAAGTTTAAATCTTGCAAAGCAATCATGCTGCAATAAAATAGACTTGTTTTGCATCTGGATTGAAACTGCACAACATTCTAGCTACAATAAACGAAACAGTTCAAAGAAAAATTATGTATAAATTTCGGTATTGTTGTTGTGAATTTATTGCCGTATTAATGGACTTTATTTGAACAATATCTCATATACAAAATAATAATTATTTACGAAATCAATAATCGAATAAACCTAAAATAAAATATAATACCGAAATTGAAAAGAAATTAACACAGTTCAACAAAAGGCAAAAACACTAAGATTTGGGAAAAGGAAAGATAAACAAACAGGCAGGCCCTTAATTAAATAACTAATGATTTGGCTTAGGGTTTTGATTGGGGATTTGAAAATATGGTTTGGGCTTGGGGTTTAGGAATAAAAGATTGATTGAGCTAAAGAGTGAACCAACTAATAATAATTTATTGAAAGACTTGTTGGAATAAACCTTTTAACGGCCAAAATTCTTAATATTTACTAACTAATCAAAATATTTTAAACTAGTAATTATGATTAAAAAGACAAAAAACTCCAAATTTTATAATACTCTTATGTTACAGTAAAAATATACAAAATACCTCTTATTTTATTTATTGCGTAAAAATCTCATTTAAAAAAAATAAAGAAGCTAAAATAGGTTAAATAGTTGTTTTTGAATAAAATAAATTGCTAAACATTTTATCGACCAGTGAATTTTTTTAAAGGAGCTGCTATATAACTTTTAAGAAAAAGATTATAAAATAAAATATTGATTATTTATTTATTTTATTCAAATATGATTATTTAAAATGTTTTAGTTATTTGTATAATACTTACAAAATTAAGTGCAACATCAACTTTGAATAAAAAGAGTATTTTGTGTCTATTTTACTTTTACACAATAAATAAAATTCAAATCGTTGTGTGCTTTTTTATACTTAAAACATAGTGGGATATTATGCAATTTATTTCTTTTTTGAAAGATATATTCATTAAAGAGAATGCATGTTGTGGAGCGGACTTGGTTCGATGCAAGCGAGGTTGTGGAGCTCTTCAATGGCGTCGAAGAAGGGCATGTGTGTCTCTCCAAGAGTAACCAACGCCTCGATTCCATTCCCGTTTCTGGTGTCCATTAAGCTAACTAAATTCATGTACCTCGACCTCTCCGAATCACTGCCTCCATGGAAGAATGCTGTCATCCAAAGAGGCTTTCCCCATCCAAAGTCGATGTCGTAACCACCAAATCGGCACCAGCTCGACATTGTCAGCAGATCAGCCCCATCGGGGACTTCTGCAAACAACGAATGCATCTTCGCATCTAAACCCAAAAGCCCTCCATCCCCTTGCAGTCTGCTAACATATTCACCATCCACTTTTTTTATGGTATCCCTAAATTTCCTTGCTAGGTCTTTGTACTCTCCTGTGGTTCGATTCATGCTTGATGCTGTTGTGATGGAAATGAAGTTCCCGAAACAATCTGATGGGAAGGGAGGATGAGCTCGCCCTCTCAAGTTGGCTGCAATGGCGACTGCTGAAGTGGATTTTCCATTTTTTAAGGATGCTGCCATGAAACAGTTCCAGAGAAATGCTGACACAGCCTCCACCCTGGTAGGGTTTTCCAGGCCTGTTTTGGCCTTGAGGGACGAAATTGCAATGGAGTCGAATATGTATCTCTTAGTTGTCCATTTCCCTTCGTTCAAAATGCGTTGCGCAGGGCGATGTTTTTCGAGTAATTCCTCCTTATGTGGGAATAGATATTGGGAGATATAATTAGGACAAACTCCTTCTTTGCTTCCCCGATTCGTACTTCCCCAGGCCTTCAAGAAATTCACCATTGTCGCGGCATCACCTACCTTGTGCCAAAAGATGGCGCCGATGGCAACGCTGCCGCAGTCGAAATAACTGACTTTGATTTGCAAAATCTTACATTCAGGATCCATTTCAGAATCCCAGGTGACTTTTCTAGGAAACAGCTGATCGGACAGATCCTTGTCTGGTTTTTTAAGAAGATCTGACAACCGATGGCCTGAAAATCGGGCAACAATGAAATGAACTCCGGCGTCGTTGCAGTCGATAGAATGCTTGTATTGGTTGGCTCTTCCAGCGAGAGGGTAAAATCGGGTTAGAATGGATGAAAGAGAATGCTTCAGCTGCTGAGTAACTTGCAAGAAGGCATCGGCATGGTCATTGACAATGTTGTCCGAACAAGGAGGGAAGAAGAGGACAATGGGGATGAAAACAGGTTCCATGACCTGGTCGAGCATTGAGAGGTTGTAGGTCCTGAGGTGTGACGGTGTCGGAGAAGATGGCTCTATGTATTCACTGGAAATCACCTTGCTCTCCATATTCATGAAAACTGTTGAAGTATTGAGCAAAACGAGAAAGAAGAATGAATCGTGGTGAGTTATGGGTTCGCTTGGATTTTGGCTGGCATTATTCCTCTTGCCATTTATAGAATGACTATACTCAGCAAACGTAAGGACGTGTTTGGACATAGCTTTGTATTTTTGGTTAGTTTCGAAACATTAAAAGATGAATTGGAAATAATTGGGTTTTTTTTTTTGTTTAAGTTTTATTTATTTATTTAAATAGTAATATTTTAATTTGATATTTGTGATAGAAAATAATATATTTTAGTTGAAATGAGAATGAAAAATGCTGAGGTTCATTCGGGGTAAAAAAAACAAACAAGTACATATATTTTGAAAATAAAAGATGAATGTGTTCACCCAAACAACTTTTTTTAGTGACAAATTTTTTATGTATATAATATATATTTTTTAATTTTTTAAAAAAATATATTTATTATAAAATATATATATATATTTTTATATTATTCATATAATTCTTGGCATTAATAATTAGTTATCTAATCGATTGAGTTTAATTTTAGAAAATTAAATTTGGATTATGCAATCGAATAATCGGTCAATGAAAATGTGATGAGCCGGTACAGCAAATTGGATTAATTTGGATGAAATAAATAAATATTATACATTTATTGGATATGAGATTTGTTTAATATTTTGACTATTTTGTATGTCTCGATACAAATCAAAATGTGCAGACCTAAGTACGGTATATGGCCTCAGTTGTAGGATTAACTGGATAAAATCTTATCCGGTGGATAAATTTATTATGATGTCAAACGGAAAGTTTGAAATTACAATCAATTACGATCTTCTCAAATGAAATGTTTAAAATTAGAATAAATTACGATTTGTCTCAAATGGAAACGAAATGTTTGGAATTAGAATAAATTATGACGGCCTCAAACGGAAGGATTGAAATTAGAATAAATTACATTGGTAATTAATGTTATAATTATAATCGTACTTAATCCCCTATCATTTTGTCCAAATGTAGACGTCTATATAAAGGGTCTTCCCCTTCATTCTTAACACCAACAAACATCCTCTCCTCTTATTCTCATCTCTTCTAACTTTTTGGTAACCTCTCAAACTTAGTTCCTCCCTCGTCTTTGTTTGCCGGAGCTCCGACAATCTAAAGTGTCACTTTCATCGGATACGAAAACTGTTTTATCTTTGGATTAGAATGCTGACCACCTGAGGCACTATCAGAGCGTATCTAATTTTCGAAAAGAAGATTCATCCTCGACTAGGTTCACGGTACCTTTATTTTGCACAATATTACAAAAAAAAAACTAACAATAGAAAATTAAATATATTGCTTTGCGTGAATGTCAACCATTAATGGAGTTGCCGGAGTTGCAACTTCTGGATAACTACAAATAATAGCATATTTATTGCCTAATAAAACTGTGTATTTCATGAATTTTTACGTTAGAACTATCATATAATCTGATTTAAGGCATACTTTATTGATTTGTTTCGCTTGATATGATCCATAACTCGCTTGTGAAGATTATTGATGTTTTTAGCCTTTATATTTTAAGTTCTTAGGTTTGTGAGGTGAAAAGGCTTTTATTCCAGTTATACCAAAGACTTGACAAAATGATCCTACTTTTCTAAGTTCATACCCATATTTAACTTGTATTTTAAGTTCGGAACATAATTCTTTTTTAATGAAAGCAAATAATTGATCAAAAATTATTATTGCAAAATTTATGAATTCAGTTCCTAATTCGTTTGTAAAATTACTCATAATTCGTTGTGAAAATAAAATGGGTAAATCTGTTATGAATTTTCTTTACAAATGAGGCACTGCAACCATGTCTTTGTAGTAAGTTTGTTAAATATATGTGCTTATACCACCTAAAGTTTGATAATGTTGGGTATCTTAAATTTGTTAAAAATACATTTGATGAATTTAGTTGCTATACCTCCTACTTCATCATCAGTTTCTATATATTGTGTGTTCTAAAATTATAATTTTATTTTGAAAAGAAATTGCATTATTCCACAAATATTTGAATTGACCTGTAAATCCTTGAATAATAAGGCATATGACATTCTTTTCTTCTATATTTTGAATTTTATAGGCTAACGTAGCCATGCTAATTTTTTAAGAATATTTAGTATTTCATATCAAATTTATCATATATATTTCCATTCATAAAGTTATTGTCCATCATTCCTACTTATATATAAATTTGATCTTTTCTCATATTCAACGTGGGGTGGTGTAGACCTATCATAATAATATCTGTTTTTGCATTCTTTTATTTTATAGTTCTTTTGAATTGATTTATACTCCGATATATTTTATCTATTTCATTCACGTCATGTCTTGGAAGTTGTATTAAGACTTTTTTATAATATTGATTCTATTTCAGTTTCTTCTATTACAGCTAAGAAAAACCTGATGATAAATCGTGTCCAGGCATTTTGTGATTAAATAAAGAATTTTTCCAAAAGTATACCTACTTGGTTTGCAATTAATTTGTTTATATAATATAGTTGTGATATTTATTTGAAAAAACACAAACTTTAATTATGTTGAGAGATAGTCTTTAATCAGTTATATATTAAACATATTTGAAACAATAATCAGAAACGTGTTATTCCAAGTACTAAAATGAAACTTCAAAGCACAATTTCGAACGATAAGAAAAAGGACCCAAAGTAATTATTTTAATTCAACGAAGACCCAATGCCCAAGGGACTTGGATCGATGCAAGCGAGGTCCAGGAGCTCTTCAATGGCGTCAAAGACCGCCATGTATTTCTCACCAAGTCTTATCAACGCCTCGACTCCATTCCCAACACTGGTGTCCATTAAGATAATAGAATTCGCATACGTGGAGCTCGATGAATCAACTGCAGTTGTGACCCAGACAGGCTTTCCCCACCCAAAGTCAACGTCGTAAACACCAAAGCCGCACCAGCTCGACGAAACCAGCCGATCTGCCCCGCCGGAAAAATCTGCAACCAGTGACTGCCGATTGGCATGGTAACCAAGGAGCCCCCTGTCGCCTTGCATCCTCGCAACAAACTCGCCGTCAATTCGGGCTACAGCATCCCGCAATTTCCTTGCCAAGTCTTTGTACACATCTTCTTGCATACAGTTCTGGCTGGACGCTGTTGTAGTGACTCCACAGTTTCCAAAAAAATCTGTCCCGAAGGGCGGCTTGGCTCGCCCTCTCAAGTTCATAGCAATGGCCATGGCGGAAGCCGATTTGCCATTTTTTAAGGATGCTGCCATGAAACAGTTCCAGAGAAATGCTGACACAGCCTCCACCCTGGTAGGGTTTTCCAGGCCTGTTTTGGCCTTAAGGGACGAGATCGCAATGGAGTCGAAGACGTATCGCCGCATCGCCCATTTCCCCGTCTGCGCAAATCCAGAATAGGTAACTTGCTGGCCGAGCAGCTCAGTCTTATGTGGGAATAGAATCTGGGAAATGTAATTAGGGCAGACTTCTTGATTGGATCCCCGATTTGTGCCTGCCCAGGCCTTGAGGAAGTTCACCATCGTCGTAAGATCGGCTACCCAGTGCGAAATGAGAGTCGCGATGGCGACGGCGCCGCATTCGAAATAATTGACTTGGACGAAGACGACTCTAGACTCAGGATCCTTTTCATTTACCCAAGCGAACTTAATTGGAAGTAGTTGAGCCGGTAAATCCTTGGTCGAATCTTTATCGCGCAGAAGATCAAGAAGGCTGTGGCCGGGGAATTCGAAGACAGTGAAATCAACTCCGGCGTCGCTGCAATCGATCGAATGGTTGTCGCCATTGAATCTTCCGGCGAAAGGGTAGAATCGGGTTAAAATGATCGACAGGGAATGTTTGAGCTGCTCAGTTGTTCGGTGACGGTCATCAACGTTGTTGTCGGGACGAGGAGGAAAGAAGAAGACCAGCGGGATGTGACCCGCCATGGATGTCTGGTCGAGCATCGAAACCTTGTAGGTTCTGAGGTGTGCCGGCGTTGGAGACGACGGCTTTATGCACTCCCTTGATATCATTTTGCTCTCCATTTCGACTTGGGTTTTGAAAATGAATTCAATATTAAAAGCAAGAAAATATTATAAGGAAATTCTCAAAGAAACTAAGTATCAATAATGGTTTGCAGCAATTGCATAGTCGATCCTTCTCCTGTTTTTATACTGGATGGATCACTATGGTTATGTTTGGGTTGCCAACATGTCCTTGGAAATTAAGTGGGGGAATGCCTCAGGGATATTACTCGAAATTTGATCCGGCGTACATGCATGTGAGTGTGTGAGGTAAAACCATATGTCAAGAAATATATTAGGGCAGGATAAAATTATTTTATCCATCCTAATAGCATGTTTATGGATAAAAATCTCATATTGATTAAAGTCCATTATACTAATATGTTAATTAAGGATAACTAATTCTTCATTGGTATGATTAATTTATGTAAGCAATATTTATTAAAGTGTGTTATCTTATATTAAATTAAATAAAATAAATATCATATTTGTTAGAAATTTTAGGGAAAAATAACGAGATTGTCTCATTGATCATTAAAATAAGGAGTCTATATATAGACAATATAAAACAGACTCCATAAACTCAAATATAAGTAATTTAATATATTAATAAGATCAAATCTAGATATAAATCTACTAAATCTAAAACTGAATATCTAAAATATCTCAAAATCCCCCTCAAACTCAAGTGGTATAACAGAAATCAACTTGAGTTTGATAAGAAATTTGAATATAGACGCAAATAGAAAACATAAATTAGCAATCGACTCTCCACCCACTGGAGAAAAAACAAGATGACTCTCCACTGGAGCAAAAAACGAGATGACTCCACCGGAGCCGAAAATGATATGAATCCACCGGAGCCGAAAATGAAATGACTCCACTAGAGCCGAAAATGACATGACTCCACCGGAGCCGCCGAAAATGATATGACTCCACCGGAGCCGAAAATCACATGACTACTCCACCAAAGACGAAAACAATATAGCTCCACCAGCGCTAAAAACAAGTTCACTCTCCACTGGAGCAAAAAATCACATGACTACTCCACCGGAGCCGAAAACGACACGACTCCACCGGAGCTGAAAACAAGTTGACTCTCCACCGGAGCCGAAAACGACATGACTCTCTATTGGAGTCGAAAACGACGGGAGTACTCTCCACAAGGTCAGAAATAACGAGATTCTCATTGCAATCAGAAATATGGTTCTGGAGAAACGAAGCAGACGGATCACAGAATCCAAACAGATGTGCAGACATGACTTCAATCGTAGACAAAATCAGGACTCAAGATAAAATCAAAATAAGAAAAAGAAAGGGCTAGAAACTATAGAAAATTTTTCAAAATTTGGGAGACCTCCGGGTATATTCCAGGTTGAATGTAGCCGGAGAAACGTGAGTTGGTAGGCTATATCTACGGCATGAAAAAAATTAGACTCTAATACCATGTTAAAAATTTTGGGAGAAAATAATGAGATTGTCTTATTCATCGTCAAAATAAAATAAGAAGCCTATATATGCAATATAAAATAGACTTGATAGACTCTAATCTAAGTAATCTAATCTATGAATAAGATCAAATTTAGATATAAATCTACTAAATCTAAAACTGAATATCTAAAGTATCTCAACAATATTAATTAATCTCATGATTATTTAATTCATAAAATAATATAGGTATCATAACATGATCTTTCAAAGTAAACGCACCCATGTGTATATATTATTTGTAAGAAAATATATAAAGTTATGTACATACTTTTCTTAATAAATATGAATTTGAAGAATAAAATTAAAATAAATTAATAAATATTACTAAAATTATATCAAATTATATATATATATGTCATGATAATATTACAATTTTTAATGTAACTATTATATCTAAATAAGAAAAAAATAAATAAATTATATAGTTCATAATAAGATTATCAAAGGTATTTTGGATATAGAAAAGTAATAATCATATAATACAATCAAATGAAGTAAACATAATATAATTTCATTCAATTAATATATATATATATACATATATATTTGAAAGATAAATGGCCAGTGTAATGCTAATCTTCTGAAGTTTTGAATTTTTTTTTTTTGTTGTTTTTTAAATTGCTTCATATAGAAAAGTCGGTCATGCTCATAATTATTTAGTGAGTTATCTTTTGTCTGACATTGTTTTCAACAGAAAAATATACTATTTTTATTTGGCTCTAAAGGTTTCATTTACTTTTTTTTCGTGTTGATATTTTGATATTAATTATTATACCAAAATATAGTACAAATTAAAAAAACAATTGCAAAAATACTTCTATTAGTGTTATAATACTAATAGAAGGACATTTGTATAAAAAATTATACAAATACTAGGATACTTTTAATATTAAATACAATGATGCAAAAGATAAATGTGACCTTAGAGGCTGATGAAAATAGTATATATCATACTTATTCTGATAAGTATGTCGATCAATATTAATCCATATATGTTTTAGGCCTTTTAGGTATGCTAAAAATAGTGCAAATTTAAAGGGTGTTTGGTAATTAGCTTATTCAATAACTTTTAGCTTATTGAATAAATTTTAGCAGTTTGGCCGATCCATCAGCTATTTTGAGTGTTTCATTAAATCTATAAACATATATGAGACGAGAGAATATATATTGTTAGCATTAATTGATTGTATAAAAGTAGAAAAATTAATGAAAACAAAAAATTTAAAAAAAAAAACAAAATGAAAACACATAATGAGCAAAAAGGGAAGTCAAACAAGGGTTTTTTATATAGACAATTATCAAAATTTTGTCTCTATTAATTAATAGTTATTGTAATATTACTACCGATGAAATTGTGTCAATTCAACACTAGTATGGAATTGTTTTTTTAAGGTTGAGTTCGCACTATTTTATTTTTGAACTTCCTCCAAAATGTCTTATAACTGTGGAGCACTTCTGTCAGTGCTAATTAAATATACATAATTAGATTTATTTAATATAATATTTGATGGTTAATAATAAATATAGTTAATGTTGTAATTTTGCTATATAATTTTGAGGATCAATTAGTTTGTGTTTCGGATAGCAAAGTCGCTACTACAAAATAGCACAACAACAATCTATAAACACCGTAGTCTTTTCTAGTATTATATTCTACGCTTTCGTTATTTAATATTTGTGCTTTTAATTAAAATATACACAATTTCTTACAATAAATCAAAAGAATTAATTTTATTTTTAAAACTACATTTGTAGTAAAAAAAAAATGGATTAAGGTTCTAATAACTTACGTTTCAAGAAATTATCAATTTTGTAACGAGGTTTTTTCGTTCCTAAATTCACTTTTTCCGTTACTAATAAAATTAGAGAGGGAATTAGAGATGGAATTACGTTAGCTACGTGAACTTTAGGAACAGAATTCTGTTACAAATATACATTTTTTTTTGTAGTATTATAATTAATTAATTAAATTATATTTATAGACACAAAATGAATATTAGTACTGAAAATTTTGAAAAGCACATTCACTATATCACAATACTACAATATTGATTAGGGAAGAGAACAATATGCTCATTTCTTCATGTTTACATAATTGTCTTTCATGGCTTCTTTGCTAAATCAACAAACAAAGAGAGGTGAGTGTGTGTATTAATGAAATTTTAATTGATGTTTCATCGGAGAGTATAATAGAAAATAGGGGGAAAAAATAAAATAACACAATAATCATATTACAATAGCACTGTTGATACCTAATCCGTCACAACAAACACAATGATTATATCACAAAAATAAAATAACACAATAATTATATTACTATAGCACTCTTGATACCTAATCCGTCACAATAAACAAAATGATTATATCACAAAAGCACAATAGTTATATCACCATAACACAATAGTTGTAAAGTCATTTATAAAGTGATTTCCAAAATCCTTGATACACTACTAAAAAGTTTAAATTTAATTACAAAAAAATTTCTTAGCAAAAGGTAATGAATTCTTAACAAAAACATTTTTGTGACGAAACTCATTTCATCGCCTATATCGCGTTAGTAAATGTCTTTGACGACAAATATAACTTTCGTAACAAAAAATAAGTTTTTTGCAATGAAAGTTACGAAAAGAGATATAGCTATGAAAATATAATTTCGTAGCTAAAGCTCTTTTGTCATATTAAAATTTATAACAAAATAGTTTTAATAACAAAATATGTTTGATTTTTTAATCCAAATAGCTTTAGGTATGAAAATTAAGTTTAGTCAAAAGAGTTTTTTAGCTAAATATTTTTTGCTAGAAAATTATATGTTTAGCGATGAAAGTAATTTTTGTTGCTAAATTATACGTTTTAGCTAGAAAAATATTTTATAATTAAAAATATTGTAGCTAATTAAATATTTTTTTTGTAGTGATATAATCGGATCAAGTTTGTGCTCCCGGAGATCATCGACTTGGCCCAAGGAACTTCTGTCCATGAGGCTTATGACCGAGAATATTATTTTGCTCCAAGAGCTCCTCAAGCACTACTCGAGAAAAAGAAGCTCCCCCCAGTGTATGATTAAATTTGACATCCGCAAGGCTTTGGCTCCATATCTTGGGACTTCATCCGGATGCTCCTTCTTGATTTGAATTTTCCGGACAGATTTGTGCATCTAATCATGTAATGTGTCTCGTCTACATCCTTCTCCATTGCAGTCAATGGCTGCCCCTATGGACTTTTTGGTGGCAAGAAAGGCCTTCGGCAAGGCGATCCTTTATCGCCTTACTTGTTTATCTTGTGCATGAAGTACTTCTCCCGGCTCCTTAAAGTTCAAACCATCACTCGTGTATTTAATTACCACCCGGGCTGCTCGGATCTCAAAATAACTCATCTTGTCTTTGTGGATTATATCATTCTACTCTCCTGTGGGGATCATAACTTGGTGGAAATTCTCATGGATTGCATCTCTCACTTTGGAGAGGTATGCAGGCTGAAACTTAATGTGGCCAAGTCTAACATCTTTGTTGCGGGCACATCGCCGGATTTGTGTGATTTACTTGTGGATACTACTGGATTCTCTAAGGGGTCTATTATATTCAAATATCTTGGGATGAAAATTGCCTCGGGCAAACTTAAAGTTATCGACTTTGATGGTTTAATTTTCTCGATTTCGAATTACATCAAAAAATGGAGCGGATGCAATCTTTCTTATGCGAGACGATTTGAGCTTATTCGATAAGTTATCTAGGCACTTGT